ATGATAAACAGATTTCAACAACGGCACATTAAACTTTTTATTTGTTTGTTTGTCAAAATGTTGAGGCTCAAAATGCTGAGGCTCGTACCAGCGACCTTCTTGCTGAGAGGCAACATCGCTGCACCACTGCGCTGCCTATATTCTATACAGTATTAGTAAATACATAAATTCCTCTATGTGTCTGTATATATATATATATATATATATATATATATATATTATAATATATACTTTATTATAATATATTTTTATAAATACATGTAATATATGAATACGTATAAATGACAATAATGATAACAATAATAATTATAAATTATAGTTATTATTAATAATAATAATAATAATAAAAAGAAGAAGAAGTAGGTAAAATTTGTAATATTAAATAAACAAATGAGAGAAACATTGAAAAAAGCAGTGGAAAATCACGAAATATGATAAATTATTATTACAATTTTTCTTATTTATATATATATATATATATATATATATATATATATATATATATAAATGGTAAATAAACCTTGAAAACTTATAAATAAAAATAGAACATGATAAATTAACATTGAAAACAAACAATTAAATGCAAATTTAAAAAAAATAATAATCACAATAAATTTTTGAAAAAATAATTAACAAACACAATAAAATGTGATTCAAATAGTAATGTAAAAGAAACCATATTTTCCAAAATAAAAGTTTACACTAATTTATGCATACATTTTAACACTATAACTTGTAAGGGCTTTTTAAACTGCTTTTTTGCATTTTAGGTGTTTTATGATATTGATTTCCAGCTTGATTTCACATTTCTAATCAGAAACAATTACACATATTTAAACATTATCACTTCATAATTAACTTATTTGTACAACTACATAACAGAAGACCCGTATTTTGACACTCTCTGCGCAGCCTTAACGCGCCTTCAACCAGTTTGAGGACACGGTGACGTCATCGCCTTGTCACTTTGTTATTTGGCGCGAAATTCTCAATCCGCCGTGTATGAAGATGTAAACAGCTGAAAGTTCGGGGTTAATCTGGTACAATTTGCGCTGAAGTTTAGTTTCAGTGGCCGAGCGGACAGCAGTGAGCCGTGGCCGTGTAGTGCCTAGTCTGAAGTGACTCTTCGGGTTCAGTTCTTGCTGTTTTTTGGTTTGTTTCTCCGATGTCCGACCACAGTGAGCTGAGCGGCGGGGAGGAGGAGCTCATGACCCCGGCAGAGCTCATCAGCAGACTCGAGGAGGTCAGACTATTTCATTGTACAGTGTAATTTTCATATATTTTTGTATTATCTTTATAACGCAAAGTCAAAAACACAAACACCGTTACATGTGCATTCAAATGAGCTCGCTAATCTACCATTAAAGTACGCATTATGTCAAAACTAGCTATATCAATTTTGTTAGCTCGCATTGCTAGTTCTGTGGTGAACAATTCATCTGTGCATGTCATTAAGACAGAAAATTGTTTACATTTGTAATCTAAAGTTAAAATCTGAAAATACACATGCTGTTTGTTTTCAGTTAAACCCCCAGATTACATCAGTCTGAGGTATTGGGCGTGGCTAACATACTTAACCACGCCCCTCCAGCTGTCAGTTTTGACAACAAACAGAAATGGTGGTGAGGAGGAGTCTGTTAGGTTGTAATAACTCTCTTCAAACACCCTCTACCCATCTTTCTGATTGAAATGCCTACTTTAATACATCCAATCAGCCCTTAGTATAAAAAACAAGCCACTCCCACTGTTTTCTCATTTAATATTTTGGAACTGCCTCACAATATGAAAAAATGGTTAATTCAAATCCAAGACTTTTGAGTATGATGAGGTATTTCCAACTGAAACTGAATATTGAGTAGTGGGCGGGGCTTTAGTTTTGAGCATCATAGCCCCTTTCACACAGTGATACCGGTAAATATCCAAAAAAGATTTCCGGAACGACTTTCCTGGTAAATTCAAAAAAGCGCTGTTCACACAGGCGAGGACGTTACGGAATTTTTCCGGAAAAGAGCATTCACACATCCATCGCAAAATGCCGATAAATTCTGACATCATTAACCAGAAATGAGCTCTAAACGGCTGCGCTTGTGTTTGTAAACATTTGACTACATTACAAACTCTTTGGATGGATCAGAATCGAGTACAACTCCAATGAAAACATATAAAGGAAGACTTTCGCATGTCGAGATGTTCATGATATGTGTGTGTGCTGGCGCTATGGGCGCTCACGGGCACACGCAAAGCTTGAAGGTAAACAAACAACGGATTATCATAAACATTTTATCGATAATTATTTACACAGTTGGCATTAAGAAGAAACATAGAAACGTTATCTGACGAACATCTAGCAGCTAAAGGTGTCTGGAAAAATATTCAAAGGCTTTTATTCTCATAAACCGCGCGCACGTGAATGCGTCTGACTGTTCTGATTGGCTAAAGCAGGTATCTCACATCAGCACGTTCTAGACGTGCACGCGCTCTTTCCGGCAATTTTCCTTCTGCATTCACACAGCGCAGCATTCCGGCAAATTGCCGGTAATGTTACAACTTCTCTTTCCGGAAAATAGCCAGAACGAATTTACCGGTATTTTCAAAAAGGGCCTGTTCACACATACAACCTTTCCGGAAAATTGCCGGTAATTTTCCGGAAAGGTCTGTGTGTGTGAAAGGGGCTATTGCCTCGTAATGGTATGATGGGCAAGGTTAAAGTCCGTCAAAATCTACAATGTTTATTTTGCTAGCGCACACTTTTATTCTTTAGTTAATCCACTGAAAAAATAATATTTTTTTGTAATTAACCATTAAAATCTGGCATTTGGTTCAACATTTAGGGTGGAAGCAAATGGCAATTGTGGGCTTTGATTGAAGATATTTTTTAAACAGTGGGTTAACTAAAGAATAAGATTGTACATTTTGATTTCACGTGCACTTTAAGGGTGCTTTTACACCTACACTTTTGTTTGGGAACGTGTCTCGTTTGCCCAGTTAGCGCAGTTCGTTTGGCATATGTGAACAGGGCAATCGCGCTCTGTTCCGCGCCAAAGTAATCGCTCCGAGACCGCTTGAGTGAGGAGGTCTCGGCTCGATTAGAAAGAACCCTGGAGCGGTTTGATTGCAGTGAGAAAGTGATCCGATCCGAGCGCGGTTACATCACAGTGTTTTATGGATATGTAATAGGCTTACGGCTATATGAAGAGAGAATTATGAGCATGGCGGGAAGTTTCGCGAGTCTCCGGATGCCCGCAAACGAGTGATGATCTCCCGGTAATCTCGAGTCTCCCTCCCGGTCCTCAAATAGGCATCGTCACGCACCCTTCTCCCCCCTCCCCACTGCATCTCTCCTCAGACACGTCGCGCGTGCACCCTGTCAATCACCATCAAACCACCACCTCTCCTGACAGCTGAGCGGGACGCTGCAAATTAAACCCTCTGAGATAAACAAATCTCTGTTTCGGAACAACTGAATCGATTCACAGGTGTGAAAGCAGCCTAAAGCTGGAAGTTTCAGTACAATGATGTGTTTCCAACTGAAACTGAATATTGATTAGGGGGGGCGGAGTTTTATTTTTTGCGATGGTAGGGGGCGTGGCTTAGCACATTTTGCCCAAACCAAATTATTATAGTTAACCAAAACAAGTGAAAAGACAAAAACTAAAGGTTAAAATAATTTTCTTTCATTTTCTTGTCAGATTAGTCCCTTTATTAATCCGGGGTCGCCACAACGGAATGAACCGCCAACTTATCCAGCAAGTTTTTACGCAGCGTATGCCCTTCCAGCCGCAACCCATCCCTGGGAAACATCCACACACACATTCACACACACACACTCATACACTACAGACAATTTAGCCTACCCATTCTCCTGCATGTCTTTGGACTGTGGGGGAAACCGGAGCACCCAGAGGAAACCCACACGAACGCAGGGAGAACATGCAAACTCCACACAGAAACGCCAACTGAGCCGAGGCTCGACCCAGCGACCTTCTTGCTGTGAGGCGACAGCACTACCTACTGCGCCACTGCTGTAAACGCAAACCAAAATCGTCCCGGAGTGCAGGGGTCCGTTCTTCTTACCTCGCTTAAATGATCTAAGATGATTTGGCAGATCCTGGATCTTTTAATCTTGATAACTGATCTCTCGCTAATTTGGTTCTTCAAACAAGTTCGCAAATCAGATTAGAATGTCTGGATAAACTGATCTGAGATCGCTGCGTGTGTTGTAAAGGAAAGATCTATCCATCCTCGAAATCATGATCAGCAATGCAACGATTGGCTGACGGCACAGCAGCGTAATGACATCATCTGATTAATATTCAATTATCCATGTGAGCAAAATTACATCAAATTAGCAGTAAACGGCTTGTTAAATATGACACGCAATAACCTTCCACATTTGTTGTGAGCTGCAGGCTTTACACTTCATCATGTATTTCAATGCAAATCAATGTATTTAGTTCTACATTTAGAAAAGATTTTCTTTATTATAGTAGTTGTTTTTTTAATCGGTGTAAAGAATAACTGGTTGTTTACAAAAGCATTTTGATATTGGTAAAGGTGTCTGCAACTTTTGTGAAGCATCAAATCCATGGCATATTAACTATTAAAACATGTTTATGACTGCATAAATGTATTATTGCTTTAAAAAAAGTAACATATTCTGCATTTCTATTATACACAATTTGTACTAAAGCGATCTAAAAAGTTCATATCAATAAGTTTTCTCTTCGCACTACCAGGTGGCAGTCTTTGTACTTTCATTTCGAGGGTGCAGATTGCATAAGTTTTATTAATATGTATAACTTTATTTATTTTATTAATGACTATAACTTTATACATATATATATATATATATATATAGTTAAAAATATGTACCATTTTCCCAAGTGTATATAACTACTACTGTAAGAAAATATCAGAATTCAGAACATACTTTCTGTATTATATTTGCTTGAACTGAGCCGATCTAATCCTGTTTATATGAATTGAACCTGCTCCCGACCAGGTTTGACCTAGCAGAACTGTTGCTATGACAACAACTCTCGGATCAGCTTTGAAGAACGAAACGATCCTGGATCGTGTCAAATCATCAATATCCAAATCCAGCTAACTGAGTAATCCACGTACGAAGAACAGACCCCAGGAGCCTTTGCTCAAAGTACTCGTTAATGCTTAGTTTGAGGCAGTTTTAATGTGAGCATCATCACAGAGTAGATGAACAGTGTCTCCTAATGAGCGTCTCTTGTGTTTCAGGCTTGGCTCAATGAGAAGTTTTCTCCAGAACTGTTGGAGAACAAGTCTGAGCTGGTGGAGTGTGTGATGGAGCAGCTCACACACATGGTATGAGTCTGTCTGCAGTGTTTCTCAGTCTGATTAAACTTTGCGTGACGGATGTTAGCCTGTAGACGAGTCAGATTGACCGTTTCAGTATCGATCATGACTTGTGGTGTGATTTAGGAGGAAAACCTGCAGCGTGTGAGGAAAGGAGACCTGAAGGCCAGTGTTCACCGCATGGAGATCGACCGCATCCGCTTCGTTCTCAGCAGCTTCCTGCGCTCCCGACTCAAGAAGGTAAATCGAGCGTAATTTATTCAGAAAGACTGGCAGTACGCTATAGCGCATGTGTTTGGGACTGTGGGGGAAACACCCGGAGGAAACCCACGCCAACACGGGGAGAGCATGCGAACTCCACACTGAAACGCCAGTCGGGACTCACACCAGATCTGTTCTGTAGGCTGATGTTGTGTCCACGTCTGGTTTTCTCGTCTGCAGATCGAGAAGTTTTTCCCTCATGTTCTGGAGAAGGAGAAGTCCCGTGCTGATGGAGACCCCTCGTTCCTGTCTCCTGAAGAGTTCGCCTTCGCTAAAGAGTGAGTTCAGCGCAATCTGCGACTGTCGCACTGAGGATCTGTTCATGTCTGTCAGAGAGACGCTTCTGGACCGAATGATGAGGGCGATTGAGGACAGAGAGAGAGAGAATTTAAGTGTGTGTGTGTGTGTGTGTGTGTGTGTGTGTGTGTGTGTGTCTGTTTGTTTGTGTGTGTGCACGTCTGTCTATGTATGTGTGTGTCTGCATCTGTTTGTGTCTGTGTTTGTCTTTGCGTGTGTCTGTGTGTGTGTGTGTGTGTGTGTGTGTTTGTCTTTGTGTGTGTGGGTGTTTGTTTGTGTCTGTGTGTGTCTGTTTTTGTGTGTGTGTGTCTGTCTGTGTGTGTGTGTCTTTGTGCATTTTTGTTTGTGTGTGTACATATCTATGTATGTATGTATGTATGTATGTATGTATGTATGTATGTATGTGTGTGTGTGTGTGTGTCGGGTATGTATGTGTGTGTTTGTGTTAGTGTGTGTGTCTGTGTGTGTGTGTCTTTTTGCAATTTTGTGTGTGTGTGTGTGTGTGTACATGTCTATGTATGTATGTATTTGTGTGTGTCGGGTATGTATGTGTGTGTGTTTGTGTTTGTTAGTGTGTGCACGTCTGTCTGTATGTGTGTGTGTGTCTGTGTGTTTTTTGTTTGTGTCTGTGTTTGTGTCTGTTTGTCTGTGTGTCTGTGTGTATGTGTGTCTGGTATGTATGTGTGTGTGTGTCTGTTAGCGTGTATGTGTGTGTGTGTGTGTGTGTGTGTGCACGTCTGTCTATGTATGTGTGTGTCTGTGTGTTTTGTTTGTGTCTATGTGTGTTTGTGTCTGTGTGTTTGTCTGTCTGTGTGTGTGTGTCTGTCTGTTTGTCTGTGTGTGTGTGTGTGTGTCTGGTATGTGTGGGTGTTTGTTAGCGTGTATGTGTGTGTGCACGTCTGTCTATGTATGTGTGTGTCTGTGTGTTTTTTGTTTGTGACTATGTGTGTTTGTCTTTGTGTGTGTGTTTGTGTCTATCTGTGTGTGTGTCTTTGTGTGAGTGTGTGTGTAAATGTCTGTGTGTGTGTATGTGTGTATATGTGTTTGTCTGTCTTTGTGTGTATGTGTGTGTTTGTCTGTCTGTCTCTGTGCGTGTGTGAATGAGTGTGTACCTGATATCCATTACATTATGGGGACAATAAAATACAGCAATTCCAGTACATTTTGACATTGTGGGGACATTATTTTGGTTCCCTTGAGGAAAAGTGGCCCATAAATCAGACAGAATGAAGTATTTTGTAAGATGTAAATTTGCAGATTGTTTCCAGTGAGGGTGGGGTTGGGGAAGAGTAAATACAATAGAAACATCATTACATCTATGGTGAAGTCCCCAATAAACATGAAAACTCAATGTGTGTGTGTGTGTGTTCAGGTATCTGGCGAACACAGAGGTTTACCTGCGAGCCGTGGCTTTGAAACATATGCCACCAAACCTGCAGAGCGTCGACATGATGAAGGCCGGTGAGAAACACTTCTGTATTGAAATAGCCCCTATTATGCATTAAAAGGTCATGTTGTGGATTTGGGGGTCTCCAACAACAGGCTGATCTGCATATAGGGTCAAAAAACACCTTCATTGTCTTATAATATGCGTTTATTTTTACCTGATTACCTAACGACTCCCAGGTGATTCAATCAGTGATTCATTTTTTTTTCCCCCGAACAACGACTGTAAAAAATATGTGAACAAATATGCTCCCATTGAACGCCTTAAATGCATGACGGGCACAAACTGTCGCAAAACACTGCTGAAATTGGAGCATGCGCAATAGAACTGCCTGATGGAGCCAGAGGCGGAGCTGCAGAATCAAGCTTCCAATCAAATGTGTGTACGCCAAATCAACCACGCCCCCCGAACGTCTCACCTGACCGCCCGTTTCTGCACAATAACAAAGGCTCGCTAATTTAAATATAAGCACTTGCATTCAAACACATGTAATTATATACGATTTATTTGAAAACTGTGATGCAAGCTGTTATTAATAATTTAATAAAAATAATATCTGCTGGACTGCAGAAATAAAAGTTAGACTCCGCTATGAGCACACAAAATATTTCTCTTATAACGGGTTGTTGGTATTTGGCATCTTCATAGTGTCACGGTAGAGCGACCAAAACAGGAACAAAAAAAACGGGTGTAGAATCCAAGTGCAGTTTAATTGATGTATAGGGCAGTGAAAGTGACAAAAATACAAAGTAACAAAATAGCAAACTAACAAAACAAGAAACTAAGACAGATTAAACTCGAACTAGACTATAACAAGATACAAGAGCAAGGATCAGGAATAACATTAAAAAACGACAACGACCAACTGACAAACAGAGGATAAATGACTGAATATATAGTCCAGGTAATCAACGGAGAACGGAGACAGCTGTGGTTGTAAATCAGTGTAGATGACAGACCGGGTGTGTGCGCGAAAATATGTATGGAAATGTAGTTCTTTAGCCACTGTAGTTCATTGGGGGTTGCTGGCACCTGGTGGACAAACACAGTCATGACACAAAGGGGTAGAAAACTTGTAAAGTATGAAGAATAACATATCAACGACACATACATTTTTTAGAAAGGCTTTTGTTCTTAATTAGCAATCACCAGGACCCAAAATACACGCACCATGAACAGCTATTTACCATGCGGGAAAATCGTGTGTTTATATTAGAAACAGTGGCGTAGCGCAAAATGCGGAGTCCCCCTGCAGGGATCGCTGACGGGGCCCACTGATGAAGAGGGGGGGGGGGGATACGTCATACGCCAATTTGCATATCACTGACGTCATCACGTTTTACCGTTTCTGTTTGTTTTACACCCTATGGTTAATAAAGGGGTATTTATAATTGCACTACACTTTATATAAGCATGTTTATTAACTAAATGTATTGCTGTTTGAATACAGTATGTCATTATAGATGTGTAGTGAATGTGCAGTAATCTCTCATATGTAATAAACTCAGACAAATTCAGAAACTGTCACTAATATCTGTGATTGTTAAAATAAAGTAGAAGTAGATCGGTTTGACTGTACAAGGGAAATACCTTTACACTGCCTGTGCTAAATCATTTGTTGTCGGTACGCAGAGGGGTGATCTGCTCTCGGGCTGCAGATGAGAGAGGCTGCTGTAGAGGACTGACTGGGCCGCCTGTCAGTGCTGTGAGGCGGGGGAGGGGTCGGCGGCATCACACGCAGCTCGTTGAGAAGAGTAGGGACGGTACAGTATGGACAAATGACAGTCTAAAAAAATCTCCAATAACATACAAAAAAGTCGCTAGATTTGTCGTTAGGGGGTCTGAAAAGTCGCTAAATCTAGTGACAAAGTCGCTAAGTTGGCAACATTGGCGGCAAGCAATCAGAATGAAGTAGTCCACCGCTTGAGAGGTGTTTAGAGAACACAGACCTGTGAACTTTGGTTCCGACCACAGTTGTTCCCAAGAGTTTGATTATTGCGGTTGCCGGTTGATTTTCAATTATTGAAAATCGCGACGACGCGGGGCCCCCTAATCACGCGGGGCCCCCCCGCGGTGCGTGCCCTGCGGGCCCATCCGCTACGCCACTGATTAGAAAAGGATACAGCAAGATTTCTAAATATCAACAGGATATTTACACATCTCTGCACTATATAAAATAACCCTTTTCAATTTGTACAATAAACTATTGTACAAAATATTGCTGGCATATTGTTCGATTTTTTTTTTTTTTTTTTGTCTTTGCCTCCGTTTTCATTTGGTTTATTCAATGCCTTAATTATATCTGGCAAAGAGGAGTTTACATTCATTTGAATGTTTATTAGGAATTTTCAAATAAAAAGTCAACGGTAAATGGTGTGTATAAATAATACATGTAACATTTACAGCTTTTTTTTGTTATTTAAGATTCAGTTTCTAGAACATTAATACTTTATAAATGCAAATTCAGTAGATTAACTTAATAATATGATGAAACTCAAAATCAAGCTCAGAGATATTCTTAAAATCAAGTTCAAATAACGTTGCATGAGATCGATCTGGGCATACAGGCTAACATTAGTTTTGTTTTTATAATTATTATTTCAGACCCATAAGTTGAATTACTGCAAGATAGCAATCATCTGTATTTTCCCTGACATAATAACGTTCAGTATCAGCAAACAAAAGCCCACATTTAACCGAATAAACGGTGATCCGTCAGATCCTGTAGGTCAGAAAGTATAGTTTAATCATGGTAAAATAACACAGAAATCAAACTTTGGCACTTTAATCTCCTCCTGAAGCTCTAATGCTGCGTTCCCACCAGACGCAGAACGCGCGTCAAGCGCTAGTGATTTACATGTTAAGTCAATGCAAACGCGCGAATAGACGTCCTGCGGCGTGATATGCGCGAATGACGCAAATTGCGCGGTGCAATACGCACGAATAGTGTGACGCGAATTGAGCGTTTTGCGCGTTTGATGCACTTAACACGCGTTTTGCGCGAATCATTCGAGTTCGAAAATCTGAACTTCAGCGGACATTCGTGCCGTGTTAACCAGTCAGGAGCTTGCTCTTGTGGAGGCGTGATTGTGACGTATCGCCTGTTGTCGGTGTTCCAGGGGAAATCCTCCAGCCTTCACCGACAACAGTTCATCAAACTGGGCTCGGCTCAGTCAGAAGCACCGCTGAAAGCCTCCGTGATCCAGGCTCAGTTTCTGGAGGAGTTTATGAGCTCACAGAGCTGGTTGCACCTCTGAAAGGATGCAATGGACTCAGACACGACCCTAAACGTATCAACGCTGTTTTTCAGCCATCATAAAGCACATAAACACTGTTATTTTCTTCATAAAATCCATGTTAGCCCTTTAGCTATGAAGCTAGAGTCACCGGGCAGACAGAAGCCCTGCCCATCACGCAAATCCGCGTCTTCTGAAGTGAATTTGACACGCGAATGAAGCGGATTTGACTCGCGAATAAAGTGGGGTTTGACGCGCGGAAGAAGCGAGTAAACTCAAATGTTCACGCGGCTATTTACGCGCGAATAGCGCGATTTATCCGCGTGTTCCGCGTCTGGTGTGAACACAGCATAACGGTCTGCTTAGAGAAGCTGTCAATCACAACTGTCAATCACGATGACACGCCCCGTTTTTATAGCATTAAAATACTGCTAAGAACATGCTGTTTACAGAAATGAATATCTGCACCTATATCCGCATGATAACCAGTGCCTTTATTGACCAAAACCATCTTTCAGGAAATTTTAATGCAAGTGAATTACATTTTTTTTTATTTGGGCTCCAGTTTCGTTGGTTAACATGGGGAAGACGGGCTTATGACTTGTACTACAGCCAGCCCCCAGGGGGCGATCTAACAGCCGGGAGCATCACTTAAAAGGAGGCATGCAGCACAGTTGGTCCCAAACCCCTCCTTAGCGCACAGTTTGCAGTGATTGGTCGACTGCTTTCAGCGCCAGAGAGATACGCCCACCACGGCTTATTAACATTGTTAAAGTAGTCAGAGTGCAGTGTATATGTGTGAGCCCAATGCAGGAGTGCATTAAAGCAGTGCAGTTAAACACCAGCATATCGCTTTATTCTTAACCATGACACACTTTCAGTATTAATACAAACAGCGGCAAAAGCTCAACTATTTTGACACTTCACCCCGCAAGAACAGCTAGCGGTGGCCATAGCAACGACAAACAGTTGTGGATCGCGAGCTCACAAACGCATTTTTCAGTCCACCTGGTTTTTTTGTCATTCCGCGATCGCTGAATCCAACGCAAAATCAACATTAAAAATTCATAATTCTACAAAATTCATAATTAAAAACAAAATAATCACAAAAAAATTTAAATAACCTCTTAAAACATCCACTTGCAAGCCATATAATCAAAATATATTTATTTCAGTTTGCAATTTGTTTTACGTGACTTATTTATTCAATTGTAAATAAATTAAATGTAGTCTTCACTCGAAAACTGTCTAAAATTTTACTGACGTGCGTGCGTGTGTGTGTATGTGTGTGTCTGCAGTGCCTGAACCATGTCTGGACTCGTTCGTCTTCCTGAGAGTGAAAGAGAAGCAGGAAAATATCCTGGTGGAGCCTGAAACGGACGAACAGAGGTAAAAACACACACTCTGCGCACGTTTACACACACTCTTTCAGTGCAGAGGCTCTTCCTAGACTTTGATCCAAACCGTGTCATTTTAGTGACTGTGGCTTTAAATTCGGATGAGATGTGCACTATTTAACTTCAAAGGAGCACTAAAACTCTCTCTCTCTAGTCGCTGACAATATTTTTGTCAGTAACGGTGCAAAAACTCAATAGCTGGCAGCTGCTTCTCACTCAGGGCTGTTTATTCTAATTTATTACTAATGGGCGGTGCATAGCTACTGCCTTTTTTTGCTGGTACGTCAAGAATAAAGTGACTTCGTGAATGTTGTTTGATCAGTGTGGACGTCTTTCTCAGGGAGTACGTTGAGGATCTGGGGGGTATTCCAGAAAGCTGGGTTAACTTACCATCTGCTAAAACCTAAACTCTCGGTTGATTTACCCAAAACCTGCTTACCGCGAGTATGTTGGTTCCAAAACAGGTGACAAGAGTTAGTTAAATCAACCTCCTGAAGATAACCGCGGGTTAATGCGCGTGCACGGCACACACCTGAAGGCATTTTCAGTAGATCGCCGAATTCACGAGTCACCATAGAAAGTCACGGTGAGAAAAAAAGGGCAACGGCACTTTACAGAGGCGAAGCTGTAGGTTTTAAACACAGAGATTACACATCTGCTTCAACGAAGGAAAGAAATATAGAATAAGAAATAGATAAGAAAATAAAAAATAAATAATAAGAAAATGTATTAGTTCATTAAATTACACATGCCACCCTCCATTTTATTGTAATGATAAATTAAACTACTCTTTAACATCCTTTTTGAGTATGTTGTGTAATCATTCATGCATTTATTTTTCTTGCCATTAATTTCTTAAGGCCACAATATATGTGTTGACGAATAAGGCTTATAGAAATTGTAATCTTTCTGGAGCTAGAACTCTGTCCAAAGTCATTAAACACAGAAACATTATCATAAAAGGTAATATTTAATTACTGGAGCTCTTTATTTAACACTCTAGAATATTCTTTCTGACATGCAGCTAATAGAAAGAGGCCTGTCTAACTGCTGTGTCCTATAATAAAGGCTTTTCAGTGGTTGAGTTTTTGACTTAAACCACACACTCTGTCACTGTTGTAAGTGATTGTTGTCAGATAGCTTTAGGTTCTTTTTATTTTGCATGCAGACGAAGTTCCTTCTGCCTCAACTAACAAGCAGTGTAAGAATTTTCTGCACTTTTCCATATTTGAATATTACTCTTGGATCACAAAATCTTTTATCTACATATTTAAATTCTAAAGTAGCTGTATAAGGTTCATCTTCAAAGATAAAGTCACATGAGCATCAACTTAAGGTGAGAAATGTATATGAAAAATATGTTACACGTGGGTGCGTGTATAAAGCAGTGTAAAAAATCATTCATTTTATTTCAGGAAATGAAGAAATGAACAGACCAAACTATTTGATTAAACATAGTTTTTTGACTAATTATATATTTTTAGCACTCTTCCATCTGTTTTGTCTGCTTGGGTCACTGAGATTTCCTCTGGGTCAGGCTGCAGGTAGGGTGTCATCGTATAAGGCAGAAAAGGGTATCTTTTGTCCTCCAGCAAGTAACAATAGTGCCCAGTAATGATTCTATTTTATAATACAAATATAATAAAAATAAACATTGTGTTAAGCAACATTTGCTTTATAGTTTTTTTTTTTTTTTTACACTATTTGTGTAATACACTTGAATCATTACTTCTAACCCTAACCCCTAACATATAGTGATGAGGTGGAGTGTGTGATGAGCTGGTAAGTCGAAGCAGTAATGAGTTTAATAGTTGAAACCCCAAAAGATTAAGGATAGAAAATTAAGTTGTACCTGCACACTTATACTTTGGACAAATTTTATATTATCAGTGTCCTTTAGTGACTGATGGAGCTTTAAAATCCGCTGCAATTAATGCACACAATAGCATTTAGAAACCCTGAAAAAAATATTATATTAAAAATGTAGGTGTGTGTGCGTGAATGTTTATATAAGACTGACGTCCTACATCTTAAATTAAAGATATATTTTCCTACAAAAGACAAAGCTGCCACTTATAATATTATACAGAAAAATGTGAGGGTGCAGAAGGAGAGAAAAAACACAAGATCTGTAAGTGAGATTCGAACTCGCTCCATTGTGCGCTCCGTTGTTCTTTATCGACTCACTGTCCACTATGCTATTCCCCTGCTCTGAACCATCTGTGTAATGATACGCAGTAATGTATGACCAAGGAACTGTACAAAAGTGTAAAAAACAGTTCAGTGCCAGTCATACTGTACAGGTGGTCCTACTGCCATATTGTACAGTTGCCTAAAATGCCCTGACGCGAATACAAAGAGCTGCACTGAATGTTTTTTATGGTAAGCGCAGACCCGCGGTTTGTCACATTTGATTTCAAAAAGGTTTATTAAATACATTAACATTATGAATTTGGTTATGAAAAAAACTATGCACTTATAACCCTCTCACAACGAAAAAACTTGTATCTGTGTGTCCACATCCATAAATATTCTCATCAAAAGAGCACGCAATGCTCAGTAAACTCTCTGAAACAGACAAACTCTGAAACATAGCAACTTACTCTCTGAAGATAACCTGCTCCAGAGCAGGTTATCTTCAGAGAGTAAGTTGCTATGGCTACTTAACATACCCAGAAGTTACCTCCGATTTTGGAACCAAAGTTGAGGTTATCCACCTACTTACTCTCAAACTTACCCGTGTATGTCACATAACCTGCTTTCTGGAACAGCCCCCTGGACGAGGGTTCGCAGCACATGATGTGTTATCACACTGTAGCGCCTCTAGTGGCCATTTAATCAGTGACGATTTTGTTCTTTTTGACTTATTGGATGGAAACGCTACTTTATTCTCACGTCTTTTATGAGATTATTTCAGTTTTGCGCATACATTTAATTTCTCATCTTTGGATGGAAACGTAGCTAGTGTCTGTTTCCGCTCATACTTCAGAAATAGGGTCAATAAAGAGACTTCGTGAATGTTGTTTTATCAGTGTGGATATTTTTCTCAGGAAGTACGTTGTGGATCTGGACGAGGGTTCGCAGCGCAGATGCTAAATCGCACAATAGTGTCTCTAGTGGCCAGTTAATCAAAGTGACGATTTAGTTTTTTTTGACTTATTGGATGGAAACGCTGCTTTATTCTCACGTCTTTTATGTGATTATTCCAGTTTGGCGCATAAATTAAATTTGCATCTTTGGATGGAAACGTAGCTAGTGTCTTACCGCTCTTACGTCAAGAATAAGGTCAATAAAGCGACTTCGTTAATGTGGTTTGATCAGTGCTGACGTCTTTCTCAGGGAGTACGTTGTGGATCTGGACCAGGGTTCGCAGCACATAATGCGTTAACGCACAATAGCACCTCTAGTGGCCATTTAATCAAAGTGACGATTTTGTTTTTTTTGACTTATTGGATGGAAACGCTGCTTTATTCTCACGTCTTTGATGTGATTATTCCAGTTTTGTGCATAAATTAAATTTGCATCTTTGGATGGAAACGTAGCTAGTGTCTGTTTGCGCTCGTACGTCAAGAATAAAGTTTAAAAAAAAGCGAGTTTACGAATATTGTTTGATCAGTGCTGACGTGTTTCTCATGAAGTACATTGAGGATCTGGACTAGGGTTCGCAGCACATAATGCGTTATCGCACAATAGCGCCTCTCGTGGCCATTTAATCAGTGGTGATTTTGTTCTCTTTGACTCATTGGATGGAAACGCTGCTTTATTCTCACGTCTTTTATGTGATTATTCCAGTTTTCCGCATAAATTAAATTAGCATCTTTGTATAGAAATGTAGCTTTTGTCTGTTACCGCTCATACTACAAGAATAAGGTCAATAAAGAGACTTTGTGAATGTTGTTTGATCAGTGTGGATGTCTTTCTCAGGGAGTACGTTTTGGATCTGGTCGAGGGTTCGCAGCACATGATGCGTTAGCGCACAATAGCACCTCTAGTGGCCATTTAATCAAAGTGACGATTTTGTTCTCTTCAACTTATTGGATGGAAACGCTGCTTTATTCTCACGTCTTTTATGTGATTATTCCAGTTTTGCGCAGAAATTAAATTTGCATCTTTGGATGGAAACGTAGCTAGTGTCTGTTAATGCAACTGTGTTAATGTTCTTTTGATCTGAGGACGTCTTTTATTGTCTTTTTCAGGGAGTACGTTGTGGATCTGGACGAGGGTTCGCAGCACCTGATGCGTTATCGCACAATAGCGCCTCTAGTGGCCAGCGGAGCAGTGCAGCTCATTTAAACCTGAGCAGAAGACGCCATGAAGGAATCAGATCATCTGTGTACGACTCAAAAAAAAAAAATCCGATCAGTGTTCTGCAGATCCATAAGTATGACCTTATGTTTGAATATGAAAGCATTTACAGTTAATAAAATGATCAATGCACATAATAAAACTCACTTAAAGGGACCGTTCACACAAAAATGAAAATTCTGTCTTGCCAGTCACCTGTTCAAAACCTGTTTGAGTTTCTTTCTTCTGTCGAACACAAAGGAAGATATACTTAAGAATGCTGGGAAAAACAGCCACGTTGACTACCATTGTATTTTTTGATCCTACAATGGGAGTCAACTAAAAAATCATAAATGTGTAAACGGGTCAATTTTAGGTGAACTGTCCCTTTAAGAGCATTTTACTGTGTTTGAATGTAATATAAACTAAAGCGTAACTGCATATACACTCAGGTGTAGCACAGCAGTTGTGTAGTCTTGCGTTGTGGTGGTGATATTGCGATATTTCATCACACACTGCCGGCTCTGCTGTCGCAGGCTGGTCAGAAACAGAAGCTGTGGTTTTTCTCTGTTAAAGGGAAGTCGTTAGTTCGGATGGATGAGGTCATTCAGTGGCCAATGGGGGTTTGTTGGGGTGCTAGAAATAAAAACGAATTATTTATGTTTCTTTATATTGTTCCACTTTTTTGTGAGTGAGTGAGTGAGTGAGTGTGTGTGTGTGTGTGTGTGTGTGTGTGTGTGTGTGTGTGTGTGTGTGTGTGTGTGTGTGTGTGTGTGTGTGTGTGTGTGTGTGTGTGTGACAAACTTTTATAATGATGTGAGTATGACCGGCATCGCTGGCGGAAGTTGATTTATGAGCACATTTCACTCGTCCCCATTTTAAATCAAACAGAGTGGTGTTTTTTCATAATGTAGAAATGGACAGAAAATGCAGTTTGAGTACAGAAACAATAGGAGCTTATGGCACGTCCCCACAATTCACAAAAACAAGTGAACTTTTGAAAAATATAGGGAGTATATTATATCAGATATTATAATCAGAACTGGTTAACTGGCTTTGGTACTTTTCATCTTGCAAAAAGTATTGCAAAAGCAAAACAATATCGTACAAGAGCTCTGAGGAACATCCTTTACTAACAGGTTATAAACACTTATACTCAGTGTTGCTCACCATAATTAGAGAGCTCACTGTCATATTTCACCACACGTTTGATTGTTAAACAAAATTCAACACTGTTATGTAGTGTTATGTTATAATCAGTTTTTTATAACATAACATTTTGTTTTATTTAGATTTTTTTATTATTTATTTTTTGTTTTATTATTATTATTTTCATTCATTCATTTTATTGTCGGCTTAGTCCCTTTATTAATCCGGGGTCGCCACAGCGGAATGAACCACCAACTTATCCAGCATGTTTTTTTATTATTTATTATTATTATTTTATTACGCTCTTGTTTTGTTTGTGGGAATTATTTGATACTATGAAAACTGAATGTGCTTTGACAACCTTTTAAAAACAGTGAAAACGCTTGTTAATACAGAGAAGCTGTCCTAACATTTTTTGTCTCACTATTTCAGTGATCTTCAGTATTTTTGTATCAGTATTTGGAAAGCTGCCGTATCGGCGAGTACCTGGAAAAAAAAAAGTGTCGGTACTTTAAAAAATGGTATCGGTGCAACTCTAGTGTGCAGACATGCTGCCGCTGCAGCTGGTGTATTCTGGGAAATTTTCTCACCCCTTGGTTTCAAGTGTGGTCCTGAAAAATCTTCGTTTCAAGGGCTTTCTAGCCCTTCCACTTATCTAGACCTTCGCCTTCAAGCTTAAGAGAATTGGGGCACCCCTACCCTTTAACGTGAACATGCGAAACGAAGGGGAAGGGCTGAGGAGGAGAATCCGGATTGGGCCTTAATGTTTGATTTACTCTTTACTGCATCTATAGTGTAATCCTAGCTCTAGCATTCCACAGCACCACGGATGAACCCAGCATTCTGTTTGCAGTCTAAATATAATAAACAGTTTCTACAAATTTCTAGCCATAATAGTTTTAATAACTCATCTCTAAAAAACTGATTTATTTTCTCTTTGATGATGACAGCACATAATATTAGACTAGATATTCTTCTATACAGCTTAAAGTGACATGTAAAGGCTTCACTAGGGTAATTAGGGTAAAGTTAGGGTAATTAGGCAAGTCATTGTATAACAGTGGTTTGTTCTGGTGACAATCCAAAGCAAATATTGCTTAAGGGGGCTAATACTATTGAGCTTAAAATGACTTTAAAAATTATTAAGAACTGATTTTATTCTACCTGATATAAAATAAGACTTTCTCCAGTGGACAAAATATTATAGGGAATACTGTGAGAGTTCTGAATCTGTTCAACATCATTTGGAAAATGATTGAAATTCAGAGGAGGGTGAATACTTCTGACTTCATGTACTGTATCTTACTGTGTCTCTAAATTCACCCCGTGACGCGACTCTGATATCAATTAGCTAATCACGCCCTTTGACCTCTTGTGCTTGAGAAATCCTCCAGTTTCTCCATATCCTCTTCAGCACGTCTCCTCTGCTGTACGTGACCATTTTACCTGTTTCCCAGGTTAATTATACACCAATGCTCACGTTTACTGCATTCACAAGCCGAGAACTCTGCCTGCATGCCTGAACCATGCATAAAGTATTTTAATTGTTGTTCAGGGGTTATGAAACGTGTGATTTTACCGAGGCGTCTCATCTTGCATGATGAATCATGATTCACCAACACACCACGGAAATGTGGCCAATAAAGTATGTGGAAACTTCACTATTCACGCCGTCAACATGGAGGTTCTGTCATCATCTACTCATCCAATATACTCAAGCTTTGATGAGATTCTTTATTCTGTGAAACATTAAAGGGGTAGTTCACCCAAAAATGAACATATCCTGGTAATTTACTCATCCACGGTCATCCCACTTTTCATATTGAGATGAATCTGTTGTTCTTGGTGATTCATATAATGGCAGTGAATGGTGACAGGATTTTTTTAAAAAAAACTATAAGAAATTGAACATTTATATGCAATATTATTATCCATATTTTCTCATTATCGTGTAGCTGTAGTCCAAAACCATTTTAAAATATCGTCTTTTGTGTTCAGAAATCATTCAAAATGCTGCGGCAGTATGAAAACACACAAATAAAAAAAGAAACAAGTGATTTCTAGATTTACCTTGACTTGTTTCTCATTGCAGACAATACAGCAAACATTATTTAAAGTGCTGCATATCATTTTTGATCATGCAAAATTTTGCAACACAATTCAAAAAAAGTTGGATTTAAGCATTTAATACTTAATGTAATGTTGCCGTTCCTCTTCACGACACTTAGGCCGTACTCACACTAGGTACAGTTGCCTCGAACCGGGCCAAAGCACGCTTGTCCCCCCTCCCGTCTCCCCCGACGGCCCGCGCTCACACCATATCGGGCCTCGGCACGCTTGCGTCATCGCTGCTGCGCTGTTCAGTGAGAAGCGCTCTCTATGGCAAGCCTCTTTAGCATTTAAATCTTTGTTCTGACTCAATAAATATATCTAGAGATATCTCTAACTATATTTTGATTAGTCATAATTATAATTCCACTACTCAGAATGACAATTAGAGATATCTGCAATTACAATTGTACTAGTACGAAATCAGATTGGAGATATCTGCAAATATATTATGACTAGTCATATTCCTCCATTGACTTCCATTGAAAAATGAGTTTTGATTAGTCAAAATTGTAATTAGAGATATCTCTAACTGAGTTTTTACTAGTCATAATACATTTGGAGATGTCTTTAATTCATCATATTTAGAGATATTTACAAATATATTTGAAGATATCTCTAATTAATTTACTAATAGTCAAATTACAGTTGTAGATATCTTGAATTGGATTTTTGACAAGTCAAAATTCATTTGGAGATATCTCTAATTACAATTGTGACTAGTCAAAACTTATTTAGAGATATCTGCAAATATTTTTCAATGGAAGTCAATGGAGGAATATGACTAGTCAGTCATAATATATTTGCAGATATTTTCAATCTGACTAGTCAAAATATAATTAGATATCTCTAAATATATTTATGGATAGTCTGAACAAGGTTTAAATGCTAAAACGGCTTGCCATACGCTCTCACTCAGCAGCACAGTGGAGGTTTCTCTAGTTATATGGTTTCAGTCGTTTGTTATGCAGTGACATGCAGTCAAATATTTCGCCAAACAGTCCTTAGGGATGCGGTGACATGCAGTCAGATATTTCGCCGAACAGATCCGCCACTTTTGGCACTCATAAACAATCATAAAGCCCTCGTGCTGCAGGAATGAGGAGGTCTGCTGAAGGCGCGCAGCTGTCGTGCAGTGAGGACTTTGCGTCTTTAATAAACGACGGCAGTTTGCGATCACTGAACAGTAAGAATGATTAATAAATCCATATCAAACAGCCCCTTAAAGTCACGTCTCGCTTTCAGTTTCGGGCTTTGGCGCGTTTTGCACTCACACACAAGCGTACCGCACCAAAGCCCAAGTGAACCGCACTCAGGCACACCTATTCCAACCGGGCCAGGGCCGGCCAAGTGAACCGTGCTTGAGCCCGATTCAGTGCACTCACACTTCTCAAACGATCCAGGAAACGGGCCTGGGCACGGTACGGATGGCATAGTGTGAGTAGGCCCATAAAAGACGTTTAGGGACTGAAGACGCCAAGTGATGAAGTGTTTCAGGGGTAATTTTGTCTCATTCTTCTTGCAAACAAGTCTTAAGGTGGGCAACAGTACGCATTTCGATTCAAAATGCGCCACACATTCTCTGTTGGAGACAGGTCAGGACTGCAGCCAGGCCAGTCTAGTTCCTGTATCCTCTTCCTCCGCAGCAGGACTCTGTAATGTGTGCAGAATGTGGTTTTGCATTGTCTTGTTGAAATAGGCGTCTCTGGAAAAGCAGGCAGCATATTGTGTTCCAAAATCTCTCTGTACTTTCAGCATTAATGGAGCATCACAGCAGAGTAAGCTACCTTTGCCAGGCTCTGACACAACCCCATACCATGACAGAGCCTGGCTTTTGAACTTGTTGCTGGTAACAGTCCGGATGATCCATTTCTTCCTTGGTCCGGAGCGCACAACATCCATTTCTCCCCCAAAACACCGGAATTACTGATTCATCTGACCACACTACACGTTTCCACTGTGGGATGGTCCAGCCCAGATGCCTCAGATCTCAGGAAGTCGTCGGCGCTTCTGGACACTGTTAACATAGGGCTTCCTTTTGGCACACTGCAGTTTGAACATGCATTTGTGGTTGTAACTATGTATTGTGGAACTTTAGAGTAGTCCTGAGCCCATGTGGTGATATCCCTTATAGACGACTGAGGATTCTTGATGCAGCGCCACCTAAGGGATCGGAGGTTGTTCAGCTTAGGCTCGTGCCCTTGTCCTGTACACACTGAAATTCCTCCAGATTCCTTGAATCTTTTAATAATGTTCTGCACTGCTGAAGGTGAAATTAATGTCTTCCTCCTTTCCTTGAGAAACAATTAATAATTTATAAATGTAATCATTTTTTTCATGTATTTGTTGGCAAACTGACGATCCTCGCCCCATCTTTGCTCCTAAAGGTCTAGACCACAGGTGTCAAACG